CCCGCCCCAAGTCCCGGGGCGACAACTGCACCATCGTAGAAAACAATAGGGAGGTCTCTGACCATGGTAATGTGCCTCTGGGTGTGACAACTCTGTCTGCTGCGTTTATACCCACTGAAGCGTCTGGCCCCCCCGAGGAGGACGAGCTATACGAAAGCGCCATAGTGGAGACCAACTGCACGTATCGCTTGGTGGACGACAAGCTGGTCCCCGATGATGACTTCTGGGGAAAGACTCCGAAATACTCTCTGCTGGACTCCAAAGAGGTCAGTCGCTCGAGCATTTCCCAGCACATCCGAAACATTCAGTGCGTCCTTATTTTTCATCCATGCACGGGTGGCCTGGTTGGTTCTGTCGTCTCTGTGTTATGTATCTGCCACCTGTGATGTATTCAGGTGGACCTTTAATGGAAATCAGTTCAAGGATGTTGTTAAAAGACAAACAAATGTGTCCCGGAATGGCCCTCTGTGATTTACGGCTGACCTCTCCGTCCCCGCAGGTTCTGGTGTTTGACTTCGGCAGCGAGGTCTACGTGTGGCACGGCAAGGAGGTGACGCTGGCGCAGAGGAAGGTGGCCTTCCAGCTGGCCAAGCACCTGTGGAACGGCACCTTCGACTACACCAACTGTGACATCAACCCTCTGGACCCGAGCGGCTGCAATGCGCTCATACCCAGGCAAGATCTGGCCTCCCTGTCGTCCATCAGCAGAGATACATCAGTAGAGATACAGAGTATTGTGCCAATGATGATGAGGTCATAGGTTCAAATCCCCAGCAGCGTGCATAGATTATTAGATTATAACCCTTTTACTGTTAGTCATTTTGGATAAAAGCGAAATGAAATTTCGGTTTTTATTGATGTAAAGACTGGAATGAAGACGACAAACCATGATAACACTCCATTCTGTGGGTTTAATAACATCATGTACGCCAGAGGTCTCAAACTTACATAACCTGGAAGCTACGGGCTAGGCAGTCTTCAGCTCAAGTGGGCTAGGCAGTCTTCAGCTCAAGTGGGCCACTTGAGTTATTTCTAACCACAAAACAAACGAGAGAGAATAAAAAAACAATGTACGCCAATATCGTCAATAATCCGATTATCATTTTGAGGAAAAACATTTTCTAAAACAACTTTGAATGCCTTGACTTAACAAGTATGCACGCCCTTTAAGTAATACTTTGTTGAACTTCTTTTTGCTTTGATTAATGCAATAAATCTATTTGGATATGTCTCTGTAATATATTTTGTAGGACAGAGGGTTTGACTGGGCCATTCAAAGCCATTGAACTTTCTGTTTCAGCCAGTCTTTAGTTGGGTTCGAGGAAGTAAAAATCTAGACTCACTTCCCTTTCTCTAAACTCTTCTCGGCACCAGGCAGGAAGTAAATGTACCTGACACAACGTGTAAGATAAAATTGATTTTATTAAGGCAGGGCGCCCTGTAGTTGACAGCAAAGAAATATCCCTGTTCTAAAGAAGTGAACCTGAAAACAAAGAAAATGCTCAGTTATTATACATTTCTGCAACTCCCCTTAAAAGGCAATCTTCTACCCCATTGGTTAAGACAGGGGCTCCTGTCTACATGCAGAGTGCATGATGACCTCAGAGGTGTGTAGCCATACTGTATGATATCTACCATAGGTTCACTGAAGACTATATGACCTGCACTGTCTGTCTCACCTACATTACTCAACACGTTGCACCTCCAGCCTGAGCCAGACTGTGGTCACACCACATAATATTTAAAGAGTGTGGCCAGATTTAACCTGATAAACCGTGGATATTTTTTTTCTATTGAAAAATGTGAAAATATTTACTATCCCCCAAACCCAAACTGCAGAGGCCTTAGATTGAACGCCAGCTCTCCTCCAGATTGTTGTTCCCACCTGTCCGGATGTTTCACGCTTGACGTGAAGCCACCGGTATGCATAAACACAGCAGAGTGTGCAGCAAACATCTCAACTCTGAACCGTAGACCAATCGCAATGCCTCGAACCAAACAAGGCCCTTCTCCGGACAGAAATCCCAGAGGAGCTGGTGACGAGCTCTGGCCTGGTCAGGAGGCCTGATGTTTTGTGTGTTCCGTGACGTAGGAAAGGCCAGGGACGGCCTGACTGGGCAGTCTTTGGCCGGCTCACGGAGCACAACGAAACTATCCTGTTCAAGGAGAAGTTCCTGGACTGGAAAGAATCGAAGAAACCAGCACAGAAGAACGACAATGAGCAAGTCAGTCAGCAGAAGGTACGGCATTTCTCTGTGATGCCTGAGCACTGTCTTTTACACCTCTTTATGGGCCAAACACAAACACATCCATCACCCGTTCCTAGTTTTACAGACAATGTGCCCTTTTATATCCTGAGTTAATTTCCCATATGTCTCTGCGTGCTTTTTCCATTGGTATGTCCAAAATAGCGTGTGCATAAACTCCCTTAAGCATTTTTGCCTGCTTACGAACTCCGGTAAAACAGCAGGCCCCCTCTTTGGGCCAAAACTGACAACTTTCGCATCCAAGTCCGTGACCCAGTGGTGCCCCATTAATCCTATGACACAACACCCACAATCCCTTGGGGCTGAGGCTTTATGTCCCAGGTGCTCTCAGGTATACGTGCCCTGTTTTCCCTTCAGTTTAGGATGTTGCAGGCTGCGAAATGACGGTAACTTCATGGAGCATTGTGTCGACGAAACAATATTGCATTAAAAGTCTGTGTTTGTGTCTGTGGGCGAGGTGTAGGCATCTCACGGACCATGCACGGTTTGAATGTATCTGCTAATTCCTTGGCACGATGACAAACGCAGTGTCACGGAAACATCTGAACGTGCCGGATGCCGTCCAGCGGGCTTCATGGTCGCAGCGGGGGTGCCTGTTTCATGCCCTGTCTGCGCTCCTCGTCTCTCTGCCGTCCCAGGAGCAGCGGGGCTACACGTGCCAGCCGTACAACGCGTCCCTGATGCTGCCCGTGCTGCAGACGCCCGTCAGCATGATGCTGGAGGGCGTGGACGTGGGCAGGGGCTACGGGCTGCTGGAGGGTGACGACCGTCGGCGCTTCGAGATCAGCACGATGGGTGTGGACGTCTGGCACATCCTGGAGTTCGACTACAGCCGGCTGCCCCAACAGAGCATCGGGCAGTTCCACGAGGGCGACGCGTACGTGGTCAAGTGGCAGTACATGGTGAGCGCTGCAGGTCAGTGCCACTCCGCTGCCCATTCTCCTCTAGCTCCGCCTACTACTCCACAGCCTCCACCAATGACAGTCTAGCCCCACCCTCTTCTAACTCGCATGCTAACCTCCTCCACCCCATCACATCTCCACCATGGCAGTTCTGCCTCTAATTATAGATAATAAGGAGTTTGATATATATATATATTTATGGTTTTAAGACCCACAGATGGAACCTAACTCATCACATCCTGTGAAGGTTTTACTTTTATTCTGAAGGGCTGATGACTCATTTTGTGTGTCCTGAGGATGCTGTGTGTCTTAAGAAATTGTCGCTCATTTTAGAAGAAGATAATTGTGCAAGCAAAAGGGAGATTAGAGATAGGAATAATGTGATTAGCACATTATTGCATGAGCATCACCTTTTATCAGGTTTATCTCTTTTAATTTTTTAAGTGATAAACCTGTTTTAATAACCAGATGTCCAGTTTGTGAGTGCTGACAGTTCAGGGTCGGAGATGGTAACTCAGTAGAGGCAGGAGCAGAGTGAGGGATAGGAAGGAGGGATAGGAAGGAGGGATAGGAAGGCCTACGACTGCATGCTGCATAAGCATGGTGCCTCTTGTGATGTGTAAATTTAGTTGAGGCAGAAGCAGAGTTACACACATCCAGGTATGATGTGTCTCTGCAGTACAGGCATTGACACACTTCCTGGTGAAATGTAGACTGCAGTAGAGGCAGTGACACATTTCCTGGTGGGATGTGTGTCTGCAGTAGATGCAGGAGCCGAGTGACACACTTCCTGGCAAGATATGTGTCTGCAGTAGAGGCAGTAACATGCTTCCTGGCGAGATGTGTGTCTGCAGTAGAGGCAGTGACACATTTCCTGATGAGATGTGTGTCTGCAGTAGAGGCAGGAGCAGAGAGAGACACTTCTTAGCGAGATGTGTGTCTGCAGTAGAGGCAGGAGAAGAGAGACACACTTCTTAGCGAGATGTGTGTCTGCAGTAGAGGCAGGAGCAGAGAGACACACTTCTTAGCGAGATGTGTGTCTGCAGTAGAGGCAGGAGCAGAGAGACACACTTCTTGGCGAGATGTGTGTCTGCAGTAGAGGCAGTGACACATTTCCTGGCGTGATGTGTGTCTGCAGTGGGCAGGAGGCAGAATCCCGAGCAGGTCCGTGTGGGTGGCACTGGCAAGGAGAAGTGCTGCTACTTCTTCTGGCAGGGCCGGCACTCCACGGTGAACGAGAAGGGCACATCGGCGCTGATGACTGTGGAGCTGGACCAGGAGCGCGGGGCCCAGGTACACCCCCCTGACTTCTGACTCCAGTGGTCCCCAATCCCAGGTCCACAACCAGGATTCCACCAGGCCGGAACACTGGGGGTGTGGGGGAGGGGTTGGCCAGTTTCCAAAAATAAATTATCTTCAAGCCACAGCATTTTAAAAGACCCCCAATGATTGCTTGTTCTGATCACATCTGAAAAAAAGGAAAACGGCTAAACTTATTAAATCTGCCCCTCCGATCCCACTCACCCCTTTACTGAAGTTTTACTGGTGCGTGAACTTTTAAACCATAAACAAATCCATGGTCATCAAAATGTTGGGAACCTCTGTTTTAAACAAAAACTGTGTAACTGTGCAATCTGTGTTGTGTTGACTCATACCACATAATTAATAGAAGCATATTCCAGGAAATCTGGTGTTATTTTAGTGTGTGGCCATATGTATCTGTGGGTGTGCATATACCATTGTTATGATTGTTCACTTCACTGTTTTTCTAAATTTATATATACTTTTTTTTGTTTACTGTTTTATTATAATTTTTTAATGTTGTTTCATAATAGGCAGTTTTAACCTAGAAGGTAATTTTATTCATTCAGATATTTATATAGAGAAATTCATGAGAGCAGCCCTGGGGACTTAGAACCAACAACCTTCCGGCGACAGGTGAGGTAACCACCGTGGCTGTGTGTCCCTCTACAGGTACAGGTGCAGCAGGGGAAGGAGCCGCCGTGTTTCCTGCAGTGTTTCAACGGCGGGATGATTGTGCACTCGGGGAAGAGGGAGGAGGAGGAGGAGAACACGCAGAGTAAGCGCCGGCGCGGTGTGTGAGCGCGTGCGCGTGCGTGTCTGCACACGGGGGTAATCACCGGCCTCCGTGCGTGTCCAGGTGAGTGGCGCCTTTACTGCGTCCGTGGCGAGGCGCCGGTGGAGGGCCATCTGCTGGAGGTGCCCTGTCACTGCAGCAGCCTCCGCTCCCGGGCTTCTATGATCCTCCTCAGCGTCAACCAGGCTGTCATCTACCTGTGGCATGGCTGCAAGGCCCAGCCACACACACGCCAAGTAGGCCGGACGGCAGCCAATCGGATCAAAGAGCAGTGAGTCTGGGCCAATGGGAAGGCTTCTGGGCGGGTTTCTGGATGGGGTTCTTATGATATGTGTGTCGCAGTGTGTTTGATCCATAATAGAGGAAGCTGGTATGTTTCTTGGAGGTTCTCAGCTCTCCTGGCTTTACATTCTGGTTCGCACTCAGAAAGAAGCTTCATAATGGTTCCTCTCTCTCATTGGGCATCTTAACACATAAGCAGTGATGGTGCCGAGTAGGTCTTCCTAACTGGAGAGGATGGTGCCGAGTAGGCCTTTCTAACTGGAGAGGGCTGCCGTCTAAGTCTTGGGTTACGTAAACCTTATAGCAGCTGTAGTGTCCTCCTGAAGGAGCAGGAGGTCCGAAACCTGCACCGCAATAGTGACCCTCACCAGTAACCGCAGCTCGTGATCTCTGTCCGCACAGGTGCCCCCTGGAGGCGGGGCTGCACAGCAGCAGCAAAGTGACCATTCACGAGTGCGACGAGGGGGCGGAGCCCACGGGATTCTGGGAGGCGGTGGGAAGGAGGGATAGGAAGGCCTACGACTGCATGCTGCAAGGTAACCTGGGCACCGTGGTATATACTGGCTTTCCAGGGGTACAGGTTGAGTTTTGTCAAATATCCATCACAATACAAACATATCAGTAAATTCATATCAGTGAATTTACTGTTCCCAAAATTAAGTGAACAGTTCTTTCATCTGGTAACTCCATACTGGTGTAGATAGGCCAGGTAACGTTAGATTATCATTGTATTATGATTAGTCCTGCACTTGTGTAATACTGATGAATGTGTGTACAAATTGTCCACAATCCATTCTTAAATGTGTGAAGAAATGTGATCACTGCCATCTAGTGGTCACTATAAATTAGCAGGTAGCATTTATGTCTCTATCATACATATGATGCATACAAGCAGTGACACTGCATAAGCATTAGTGACCGGTTGCATTTCTGGTCCCAGATCCTGGGAAGTTCAACTTCACTCCACGGCTCTTCCAGTTGACCAGCTCGTCGGGGGAGTTTGTGGCACAGGAGTTCTTCTTCCCTTCCAGGGTGGCTGAGCTGGTCAGCTCGCTGCCCTTCCTGCAGGAGGACCTGTACGCCGCCTCTCAGCCAGGTACCCCATCTCCCCCCCGCTCCTGTCTGCGACAGACGCACAATGCGATGTCACTTCCTGTTCTGACCACACATGCCGTTTCTGTGCCGCAGCCCTCTTCCTGGTGGACAACTTCCACGAGGTGTACCTGTGGCAGGGCTGGTGGCCCCAGGACTGCGAGAACACAGGCTCCGCCCGCATCCGGTGGGACACAGACAGGAAATGTGCCATGGAAACGGTGCTGCAGTACTGCAAAGGTCTGCCGTGCTCTGGTTTCACCCACTGAAGCCGGGACTTTGTTTCTTTTACCAGAAAACTGAAGGCCTCTTATAGGGATTAGATTGTATCAATGGGATGGCGTCCTGGTTTGGTCTGTGAGTGTGGGATTCTGGGCACGTGTCATCAGCAGGCATTTCCCCCTCGACAGAGAAGAATGAGAAGAAGCCACAGAAGTCGTACCTGATCCACGCTGGCCTGGAGCCCCTCACCTTTACCAACATGTTCCCCAGTTGGGAGCATCGGGAGGACATCGCTGAGATCACAGAGCGGGTGAGTTCTCCCTGGCGCCCCCTGGCTGCCACTGGCCCTCTCGCTTTATCAGGGAGCCGCACAGGCAAGCCAGCACTGCACACGTTCAAAGTGCATGTGTTTCTATATGATGTTTAATTTGCCATTAGAGTAGAGTACTGGTACATTGTAATTCTTTAGTTTTCACGTATGCCGTCATGCTCTCCTTTGAGACATAAACACAGGCTGCATCTGAAATCATGCGCTACGCACCTTCCACTTAATGAGGAAAAAGTACACACTACTAAAGGTCACTTAGTGTGATTCCTTAGGGCATGAGTACATCGTGCCTGCGTACATCTTCCAGACACACTGCGTTAGCTTTGAGCTTTACTGATGGATGCCCTGCATGACAAGTACCGAAGAAACCTCAGAAGTCACGTCTAGGATTGTGGGATTGAAACGTAAACAGTGTCTGCAGACTTTGGATTTGACTGGATGTATGGAGCCATCTGAGATGTTTTTGTTCCCTAAGCAGTGCCCACTATGGTTTTAGACACACTGTAATATTTTGGTGTGCTATTTAGTGTGGAAGTGTACGACTTCAGATGAAGCTGGACATACAGTCGAGAGTAAAGCTGGGGGTCAGAGCACTGGGTCAGCAATTTATTTGGCTTTTTTTTTTGGGTGGGGGGGGGTTAAGGGCCTTGCTCAAGGCTCCCAGAGACACATGACTACTGTGCCAAGGATGGGATTCAAACCGATGACTTTCCGATCACAAGCAGAGAGGCTTAAACCCCTGCGCCACACCCCCATGAAAGCTTCAGCTGGGAGAACTTTTTAATGACGTGTTTGCAAATGGCTTCCTGGGGATCGATGCCGTGAGATGTACACATGCGTATGTCTCACCCACCAACCTCCTGTTCACCCCCTATACCCTCACCATGCTCCAGGAAGCTGAGGTATGCAACCAGATCATCCTAGTGGAGGAGGTGCTGGCACGGTTGTCCAAGAGTTGCTACCCGCTGGAGGAACTCTTGGCACGACCCCTTCCAGAGGGGGTGGACCCACTGCGCCTGGAGATCTACCTGTCAGATGAGGACTTTGAGGTGAGGACACACCCCCTCCCTCTCTGTGAGGAGGAAGATGTTTTTCTTTAGATTAAAAACTCAAGGTCTTTCCCCACTGCGATGCACTATTCTGTATTTGAGTTAGCCAGTGTCAGCCTTGCTATACCTGAATTCTATGAGAAGCTCTGAAATCTATCTAATCTATCTAAAATCCCCTTCCAAGTTTGCATCACATCCAAGACGGAGAAAGGGCGAGCATCAAACACCCCATTCCCCCCCAAAAAAAAATTAACAAAGAGTTAGACTTCAAGGGTATTAGTCCATAGCTATTGAAGATTTCAGGCTCATATTACTGTAGCAAGCAGAGGTGTACAGTACTTCCTAAATATGTGTCCTCCAGCTTAATTACGCCTCTGACTGGAGCAGATATTAGGAGCTGCTCAGGGCAGTAGTGCCTTTAGAGGCTAGTCAGAGCAGAGCTTGATCATGCCCATTACCATGTTCACGACGACTCCTAGTGTTTATTGGGTCACCATTTCCTGTTGACACCCCGCTCTGCCGTGTCTCGATTTCCCAAAGTCACCGAGGCCCAAAGGGGAGAGAAATACACCCTCAGTGTGACTGAGCGAGCGGGTTTGGGAGGGGGCTGACTTTACCAAGGGCTCTTAACGACATTGCTCTCCTTTGGTCACCAAAAAGCGCTGTTTTGTGTTCTGAGCACTGAGGCCCGGTTTAACTCTAAGCTCCGCCTTCCAGGATATAGGGGCTCCTGAACGGGTGAGTCCCATTCCAGCATCGCCAGGCCCCCCTGCCTCTCTGCCGCCCCCCACCCCCCACCCCCCAGACACCCCCTGCTTATGTCCCCACCCTAATGCACACGGCCCTCTGACTCTCTGCGTGCAGCTATGACTCTCTCTTCTCTCACTACATGACTGTCTTCAGAATCACAAGGGGTCTTTACACCAATGTGCCATTTAGTTTTTATTTTTTGGTTTATGTTTAACTTTAATTCACATTTATTCTTTCACTATCAGCACAAGCATGTTTGTTTTTTTTTGTCACCATTTGTCACCATTTGACTTATACTTCACTGTATTATGCATTTTATGTTCTGTTTATTTAATCACATTTGTTGTTCGTCCATCTCCCAAGTTACTTACCCATTACAGAGTGACGGTGAGTTTGGACGTTATCCCAGGAAGAACAGGACACAAGGCAGGGTACACCCTGGATGGAATGCCACTCCATTACAGGGCACACACACACACACGTTTGTAATTATATCTTTGTGGGGACTCTCCATTCATTTCTATGGGGAGAACTCTAATCCCAACATGACGACCTTAAGCCCTACCCAGCCCAAACCTTACCCATGGGTAACCAAACAAAATACTTTTGGCATTTAAATTTTTTTGATTGTATTCACAGATCTTTGTGGGGACCTGGAAAATGGTCCCCACAACGTCAAAATAAGAGGTTTTTATTACACTTTGGGAGACATTTGGTCCCCAAAATGTAATATAAACATAATCCACACACACACACAATGGACAATTTAGAGACACCTGTTCACCTACTGTAATAACGTTTCTTGGTCTGCAGGCTTCAGAGCTTTGAAGTTACAGTGCTAGCCACCGTGTCGCTTAATATATTTAATTTTTGCATATATGTCTGTATTTATTTGCTTCACATTTATCAGATGCTCTGCAGGATCTATCTGCCCTTATACTGGTAATTTAGCCTCATCTCCGTGTCAGCAGCTAAGTTAACAGTAGACTCTCGCTTGACTTTGGAATCCTGATAACCACTGAAGTACATTTGTGTTTTTCGATGTGGCATCTGAGTACAGACGTTTCTGTGTATTTATGGCCCCCAGGCTTTGGGTGCGCCGTGGTAGCAACACAAAACTTTTATGAAAGCAGGTGATCCAAAATGCTACTCTGATAACTCAAACCTGTTGAATCACTTGAATATACATAAGTTAGGCGCCCATTTAGTGCAAAATGCAGATTCAGGTGAGTCTAGGGTTGGCACCTAATCCATGTCAGAGGGGAACTATGAGCTACTTCAGGTTTTACAAGCTACTTTATAACCAAATGGCTCCTGTGCTCAACCTAATTGTTGAATTGTTCTTGTGATTTTATTGGTTTGTTTCCTTGATTGAAAATCTCATCCAGCTCTTTCACATTAACATTAGTGACACACGCATGATTACAGGAGACTGACCAATCAGCACACAGCAAGAACTCAGTGCTAAAGTGAAATCCAGGTCCTTTTAATTGAAATTGTAATTTGCAAACCGTATCCTACCTGACATGGATTATCCGGTCACCCCTGTCGGCTCCTCTGGACTCGTGCTGCTAACGTTGTGATTAACAGGAGCGCTTATTTTGGCAGCGTGCTCTGGGGATGAACCGGGATGAATTTGAAGGATTGCCTGGATGGAAGCAAGTGAACGTGAAGAAAGCCAAGGGTCTGTTTTAGAGGGAGTGCGGTCTGCGGCGGTCAGGGTGCAGTCGGAGGGGGGAGGGGCTCATCACACGGCCAATGGCATCGCTCCGACCTCCCGCCGGAAGCCATGAAGGGAATCGCAAGTGCTGATTGGGCGAGGAACAGAATCGGTCAAGCCTCCAGGAAGCAGTCGGAGATACTGTTTCCTGGGGGGGCTTTTTGGGTGTTCTTTTCTTTTTCGATTTTATGCCTTTGTAGGAGGGTTCCCAGTGCTCTGGAGACACTTTTTCCAGGAGCTGTCAAGAAGTTGCTTTTAAAATATGCACATGTCCTTTTCACTGTACCATCTACCATTCACCCCCGAGTAACACCAAACTGGGCACGTGCTACCTATCCAAAGCAGTTTTTGTGTGTTTGTGCAATATATAAATAATTTGTATTTATGTAAACATCTAATAATGAAGGAAAAAACAGATGCGTTCATACTGAGGGGTTTGTGTCATATGTTGATAGGAATGTTCATTTTCTGTTGACTCTTAAATGGAAGCAATGGAGAAAAAAAAAATATTAATGCCAAGGATTTACTTTTTATTTTGCATTCTGAAGTGTCTGTGACCCTCTGCTTACAGGTGCTAAGATCCGATTTGTAACTTAAAGGCATGGAATTAAAATTTCCTTGTGAGTTTAAACTATGTATAGTGCCTTGCTTTTGTGTACAGTTTATATACAGAAGGATTTTAGTCTGCGTTTCAGAAGAACCTCTTTGTGATATAAAGGAAATGAGACAAAATAAAATCTTTAAATCCCCGTTAGAGTACTGTTTGCACTTTTGTTTAGTTAAATCGCATTGTGCATCTAAATTAAACTAATGGCACGGTCACTTTGTGACTGACAGCTGAAGAGTAAATCGCCGCTTTCTGGAAGAGAGTACTTTTTAAAAAAAAAAAAACCCACCCGCCTGTCTCCAGGTGACAAGGCACTTGTTTAACATTTAATTACACGTTGGCCTGTTCCACACGACCAGTCTGTCACGCCTACAGCCGGCTCCACTTTCACCCTGCAGGGCGATTAATGTCCAGCAGGGGGCGATATGCATCTCATAATAGCTTTATTAAGTCCCTGTGTGAAGCAGCTTAACAGCTTTGATTGCTTACGATCAGGTGAAAATTTACCCCTGATGACTGGGTTTCACGTACGTGATTTTAGAGAAATTTCCCTCCATGTTTATGCATCAACTTGCGTGGAAGACCGGCTACGTGGGCAGAATTGACCGGACCAAACCCAAAAAACTGTAGAAGAAAAATGTTGCTGGGCTCTAAGACAAGATATTCTGATTGGCAGGGCTTTGGGTTATTGGGCACAAGGCTCCCGCCAGTCCTCAAATTCAGTGTCCTACCTAACATAGCCCAGAAGGGAGGAAGATCACATGGTTATATTTGTTTGAAATACTGCACATCCTTTTAATGTTTAATACTTTAATGTTAAAAGCATCACTTTAGTTCAGTGGGAAATGCTAAAACATTACAAGAAAGCTTGCCTTGGTTTGCATTTAAAGTAAATCATTATTATTCCATAGCAGATAAGCCATTTCTATGTATTATTCTTTACTTTTTAAAATGTCAACAAAGATGACTCACAGGACAGATATATCAGGTGGGCGTAATTTTTTTTTTTTAATCTAACTAAGAAATATTTATCAAACTGTTAAATGTGCAGCTTCCATGCAGGATCAGGTACATTCAAAGTAATATTTTCATCCTTTGGTGTAGAATTTAATTTCCCTCATTTATAACATCCGAGGCTGACCTAAACTCCCTAAACTCCATAAACATACCCCTGATGTCCATCACTGAACCCGCGTCCCTCAGGGTCTGTCCTTCAGTCATTCCTTTTCAGTGTCCAGCTTTGTGAAACATCTCTCCATAACCTCGGGGTCATCTCAGGTTTCCAGAAAGAAATCCACACGAGTGCCAGAATCACCAATATTTTGCAATAATATATTAATTTAAAAACTGCATTACAAATGCATATATCACTAAGACTTGTGAGAGGTGTGGGTGTGAATATTTTCATGACAAACTACTGTAAAATACCAGAAATCTCACAACCCTCATGTATCCGTAAATGTTACACAACACTCTCTAAGGTTTCATAGATCATTTCATTATTCTGTATTAAATTTTTTATTATTCTGCTGTTATTTATGCTTCCTGGCACTAAAGATGAAGGGACCTTCACTTACGTAGGAAAAAACACAGCAGGTGACAATATATACACAGCTGAATGCTGCAGAACACAAACCCTAAATCAGATCCCAGACCAGCATGGTACTTAGTCCGCTGACGAGAGCACAGCCCCAAGACCACACTGAGGGCCCTACAATCTGCCTGATTAATGGTGTTTCACGTTAGTGAACTGCTGCTTCCAAATGAAGTCACCGGGAGGAATTAAGCAACTGAGATTGTGTTGCTGTGGTTGACACCTGTTCACAAACTGTCTAACGCCAAAAAGAAAAAAAGTAAATAATCACCAGCTGCTCTGTTTAACTGCTCAAAGGTTCGGATTTTTTGCCCAGTCCAGGAGTGAACATGCTCCATGTCACTAAGGTCAAGGAAGACAGAGGGACGCAATGTATCTTCTCAGTACCTGAAATTAACACTCAATAGCACTACATTAACCTTCATACATATATAAAGCAACATACTATAAAAAAAAGTTTATTATAATTGTCGACATGGACTCCTGATGACCAGTAAAACAGTTTTTTTTTAACTCCCTAACCTTGTTGCTGATTGTTTCTGCTCCTCTTCCTCTTAGGTTTGCGGACAGACATGGATAGTTCAGGTCCAGAAAGTAAAAATCCAGACCAAAATTTTGTGTCTACCAACTAGTTCAGCAGTAAGAACAGCAGTCACATCGTACTCAACTGGATGGATGAAGAAAAATCTTGGCTTAGATTTTTACTTTCTGGACCTGAACTAGCTACCTCTGTTTGTGGAATATACCAAATATGGGAAATATATGAATTAATCTGCCCCTGTAACAACCATCCATCTTCTACCAGCTTAATCAGAACAGAGTCATGGGGCGACCTGGAAGAGACCCTTGGGCAGAAGGCCAGCTCATCACAGGATGCTCACAAAATTAGCATTAGCCTAAATGCTCACAAACTTACAGTAGCATTAGCCTAAATGCTCACAAACTTAGCATTAGCCTAAATGCTCACAAACTTACAGTAGCATTAGCCTAAATGCTCACAAACTTAGCATTAGCCTAAATGCATGTCGGTGGGCTACAGTATATGAGGAAAGACGAATATCCAGAGAAATCCCGCACGGCACTGGGAGAACATACTAACTCCATCTGCATTTCTCTCCCGGTCTTCATGGAAGAGGGAGGGTCTCTGTGTTGTCAGATTTTTAACAGCAGCAAGCTCTCTGGTGTGATACAAGACCTTTTCGGCCTTGTCAAGGTCTGAACAACGTCCTCCCTGAGTAATAGTTTTATGGCATCAGACAGAAAATGAGATATTTGCGCATTACAGTATCCAGAAACGTGACGCAAACTGAAGAGACTTCTGAGTTTGAAAAGTCTTCTGTTACATATAATCTAACAGTGAGATTTTCCATCTTGGTTTTCCAGAGACTGAAAGCACACAAGAACTCCTTATGTAAGTATTTTTATTTAATAATAAATGATCAGCCTGTTGAATCCAGTTAAAATCCTATTGAGTATTGCAGAGGAACCGTCCAGATCTCAGTGTGAGACCTGGAGAAACTCTCCATCTAGATGACATGGTACAGTGAAGCATTTTGTCCCAGCCCTGCAGCCCGCATCATGAACTGGATTTCATCACTTGCTCTGCTATTCTGAAACAGTGCAGTGCTGAAAAAACTCAACTGTGGTCTCAGCTTCTGAATAAAAATCACATTCTGAAACCAACAAAAGCATTCAACAGCGATCTAAAGAAACTGTCCTTCTTTCAAAGGCGACAAAGATGCAGAGAAGACTCTTGATCTGATTATGATCCTTTCATACTTGATTGTTGGTTAATCCAGAGCTCTCAGCCAGAGAAGCAAGCAGTCTGTCACCAAACAATGACAAGATTATAATTATCAGGGAAAGGACAAGAGCTTGTAACCATGGTGTAATCATCTCCACAGGGGTCTGGAGAACTCTTCTGACAATACATCTCATTCGGCATGTTAAAGTGTGTCTTTAAATATTTAAGCGGTGGAGTACTTTTACTGGTATCAGGTGTGACGCCTCCCTGTAATTTCAGCATGGCAGTCCAGTAGGTATTCGTCACTGCTATGCGTTTCACACCATTAGTGCTGATTTAAGATCTCCTGACCAGTTCTGCTTACTTGACCCAAATGATGTCACCAATACACTGTGGTCTACCCTAACGATTTCTGTCCCGTCTCCACTAGGCCAACACACTCACTACACTGGCAGCTTGAATTTCCAGTGCTCCCAGTGGACAATGGACAAAGCTCAGGGTGGCTAAGCAGAAGTGGTGGAAATAAAGGTGAAAGTATTGTTCACCTTCAAGACGCTCTTAAACCCTCCAGCTGGCACTTTCACTGCTAATCACTTTGTCTCTAAGACAACGCAGCACAGTTCTCAGATCTTCTGCACACTGTCCAGTCCGGCACCTCCTTCTTCTGTCCTTCTCACTGAGACCAATGTCTCCAAGCTCATCCATGCTAACAGACCCAACACCTGTCCCCTGAATTCAGTCTCTACTCATCTCCTTCAAGCCATCTCTGCACTTACACTATCGACTCTTGACTTACGCTCTTTCCAGCACCCCCTCCAAGGTCTCCATGAAGGATGGATACTCTGAACTGCCGTTCGGCACATACACGCTGACAACAGTCAGATCCCGTATCCCGACCCAAAGACAAAGGGAGGTGACTCTCTCGTTCCCCGGGGAGAACTCCAACATACAGTCGCCAAACTGGGGGACAATGAGTAAACTCAAACCTGCCCGGCACCACTAACCCAGCACAACTCCAGACTGGAACAGAATGCTACCACTGGAACACCAGCCAATGCTACTATTCAACACAGAATCACTGGCCAGCTTCATTCATCAGCACAGCCTCTATCTAGGACCCTAGCGGTAATGGCAGATGGTCAGTATGCTCTGCTGACTACACTGCAGCTAATGCCCTGTCTGAAATACATTTACTTTGAATAACATCAGGAAAATCAAACAGTACCTGATTAGCAAATGTCTCATAATGCACAGAGAAGCCTACAGAGATGATTACGTAGGTAAATTCGTATAAGTAACCTTTTGCTCTTCTCACTGGTGTAAAAAAAAACTGTCATAGTACAAGAAATCATGACATGGCATTGTTTACTCTAGTGTCAAATTCTAAATTAAATATTTACCAATTACTAGTAGTTTTGCCACATCGGGTGACGTTTCAGTGATAGAGAAGCTGGCGGAGGCTTTTGGGGCGCAGTATCATGCACCTTGTTTTACGTAAGGAATCATGTCAATATCGGTAATAGATGTCTTCACGTAATACCAGAGATGGATAGTTCAGGTGCAAAACTAAAAATCCAGACCAAGATTTTGTTTCAACCAACTAGCTGAGTACAAAGAGTCATGGTCACAGAGTACTCAACTGGTTGGTTGAAACAAAATCTTGATCTGGATTTTTACTTTCGGGACCTGAACTAATCCACCTCTGCGTAATACTGATTGAGCACTGTGGTAGGTGCATGATGATGAACTACAGTGGCAGGTAAGTCTAGAATTTGTTTCTAAATGTCCTCTGTAACACTGGCCACTGGATCCATAAACTGTCATGGTAATTTAAATTCCCCTCTTCATCGAAGGTCATAGAGTAAGAGAAAGATGGACATATTTGGTTTTCCACTTCTATTTTTGCCAAGATAGTCATCAGTCAGTACTCATTAGGCCCAGGTTAAACAGCTTAGTTGTTGAAAGCATTCAGAGGACACTGTCACTTTAAATTCATGCTGCCTATGCATGTATAGTATATAATACTGTTTTCATTCAACAGCAAAGGTTAAACCCTCACTATTAATTAAGAAAAAGACTTTTCCCCTTGTATTGCAGAAAATAAAAAAATAATAATCTGGTCTGTGTTAGATATTGACTTTTATAAGGTGTTTAGACGAAGATAATGAACTAATGAACAGATCCTGCAAATAAACCGACTGAAGCAATGCATTTAGAAACTGAGTCCTTGAGTACTTTTAACTGACTGCGTTATTCCCACTTCAAGAGTTCAGATGTTCCAGAAAGGCCGTGAATCAGTGCCAGACATTAATGGACGGTCCAGTCATGACAGAACACATGCACTGACAAACAGGAAGAGTCAGCTGAATTATTGAGTATTTACGCGCATATTCAAAAATGGCGCCTTGAGTCATTAGGTTTGCCGTGGAACTTTTTAATCGGCGCCGTATTTGACTTTTCTACAGGACTTTTTGTGCATAACAAACGTAAAGCACGCCTCAGGTCTGATTTTCTGGTCTGCTGTGCAGGCAAATGATTATTAGATAAGATATTTGTTGACACAGACGCACACATTTCTATCCACGCATGCTTATCGCCCTCGGAATCAGCAGGACGGTGTAATGGAAGTAAAGAGAAGGGGACCAAGGCAGAGAGATTCAGACAAAAAAGCGTTAATTATACAGAGAAATAATGACTCCGTTTACAGCAGTAAAATCACTTTGTAGCGTCACTGCAATAATGCATGCCAAGACGCTAAGTTCTGTTACCAGTAATACATTGTTTCAAACTGTTTAGTAAGCTAAATGGATATCAACAATGGTGATGGAGGCCTAATGTTGGGGGTGTCATTGATCTCAGTGGCACATTGTTTTGCACTGTAGGGGACATGTGTCCGTCCGTCCGTCCATCCATCCATCCATCCTCCAGATCAGGGTTGCTATGGAGGCCTGAACCTTGTCCCAAGCAGCATAACACACAAGTCTGAGTTACTGAGTCTGCACCCATCACAGACCACACACACACACACACACATGCACACAGCGCAGGCAATTTTGAGTCACAAGTTCAGTTAACTTTGGACTGTGGAAGGAAGTCACAGCGTCTGGGAAAAACATGCATGTCACGGGGGGAGAATGTGCAAACAGAGAGTGCGGCACAGATACCAGCCCCCAACCACAGAGGCTGGGATGATAACACTGTCCGCCGGCAACAGATACCTGCAGATCAATCAGCCCTGTGAGTGGAAGCGGTGATCTTTCCGAAGAACATGAGAGTACAATATAGTACGAGAAGGTCGTTTGTCAGGATAAAGAAACTGATGAAGTACAAGAATTTTGGGAGGGTCTTGAATATTGATTTTGATTGCCTTTCTCGGAGGCAGATGGCAGCAGCGAAGGAGAGAAGAAGCTTTCCCTCCAAAACCGGCCATTTTGGCGCAAAGGAGAAATAGGCAACTAAGCAAATTCCCACACAGACAGAGGTTACTATGGGTTAAGCAGAACAAAACACACTGATGTGTACGAGATACTGAGAATGGAAGACAGGTGAGGAAAAAATCAATAGGGATAATCTGAGTCACATGACTCTCCTGAGCCTGCGATTGTGCAGCCCCAACAACCAACCAAATACACTGCCGCTCAGTTCAAGTCCAATAGAGTTTATGTTACAATTGATTAGTTACTGCATTAGTGATATACAATCTGGATATGAATTAACTGACAGCCGTGCCGCCTTGGCTGATGTCTCTTGGAAAAATGAGAATCCCTTTTGTAGTGACATTTGTGCCACTGAAAGCAAGTACTTTTCCAAAGCAGCCATTTTGTTTCCTGGCCATTTGAAAGCATGGCGTGACATTGGTCTGAGGCTGTATTTGATGAATATGCTTTGTAGAACAGATTACCCAACTTCCTTAGTGTAAGACACTTATTTAATCAGTTCCAAAAGTTATGGGTCAATCTAAGTGGGCCAGAAGATCATAAGCGAAACAACAGCCAAACGAAAGGACACAAGACCAGGCATGTACTGTGACAAGTTATCACTTCAGCCCCTTTTTCAGCCAGGAAAAACCCTGTTCTAGTACTTAATGTTCTACAGGCTGAATGAAGTATTTGTTGAGATGCTTGGACTTCGCTGATTTTTACCATCTCAGCCCATTGAGATAAACTGAATGCCCCACAATGCAACAGAGTGTGGGAAGTCATAAAATCAGTCATGCTTTTAACAGGAGGGACTCAGAATTACGTGTCCATGCTGCGGTCTGTGCGCTATGTTCCTTGGCACAGATCATACGGCCTACATTGCGCGGATGGATATTAAGGGTTTAGGCCTGTCATAATAACTTAAGGGTATCGGAGTCCCTGAGGGATTACAAAAAAGCAAGTGCCAATTGAAACCTGTTGTTTTTCCATAAATCACAAATTGTGGTCAAGCAGTTCTTGTGTGGGCAGCTGTTTTGGCAAAATGAGAGGGGACTGGACCTGGTAATGGGTTTTTCATATGCCTGCGTGTAGGTGGGTCCTCGGGTCTCGTTTTAATTTGTGGAGGTCAACACCAAACAAACAATAACTCCAACGTTGCACATTGAAGGGCCACATCGGGGCTTCATTCTTTCGTAAGAACACCTTTCAGGTGTCGCTTAATTTGAAGACTTGGGTTTTGTATGAGAGGAGGTGTGAAAATGCCAGACGCGCACAGGAAAATAGTGACTCATCAAAATGCAAGGAGGAAACATGAGTGATCCTGACAACAAGAAAATGCTGGTGTTCTGCTGAAATGGTGTTTTTTTTTTTTTGTTAAGACATCTGGTTTCAGTTTTGTAAAGACAAATTAAGTTTAACTACCCCGAAGGAAAATGTTCCAGGTGCCCCAGAAAGAGAATAACTTAGCGCTACCTTGCCGAAGTTCTGTTGTTTGGAACTGGGTGGGGGGGCACCAAGATCTGAGCCAGAATTGTGTCATTCGGGATCGTGACAGTGCAGGATTAGCAATCCTGGAGAACTTCCTGCGACACCATTAATGTTGGAACTATTTAGGCCAAAGATCACTCAAATGGAGTTTTGCAGATCTCCCTCAGGAACATGACAGATGGTTGGTGATTGTGAGAGAACATGCGAGTCTGCTGTAAGGTTTGCCGATGTAACTCTAGAACGTTTACACTGCAACTGTTGATCAGAAGTGAACCTAAGGTGGAGAGTAGAATGTCGGTTTTTCAGTGATTTTCTTAATACTGGGGCAGAGGAGTCTTCCATCTAAATTTCTGCTTCTCCTTGATGCCACAAGAGAAAATTCCAAGAACGCATTTCATTAGGGAGGATGTCGAGATAATAGAAAAACCATGTTTAAGTTAACATTCATCACTTATCAGGCAATGGAGTCAGTAAACAGAACACCAGATTTTAACACAAACTGGCTACATTCTGCTGGCTACACCTGTTTAATTAGTGTACGGAGAACCTTAACAGGGAGTGTGGCGCTTGTTAAAATGTTTTACATTTCAGACCTGGTCATTCCGCATGCTTATGAAGTATCAGGGTAGAACTGTATTTAAGTGCTGAAACATTACCCACCTGCACAATGTCTGCGTGAAATCTGCCAGAAAAGTAAAAAAAAAGAAAAAAGAAAAAAAGAAACAGCACATTTGATCAGCTCATCCTACATGTGCAACAGGGATTACGTGGAACGTATGAGGAGACAGACACCTTCATGAGTTCTGAGTACAGGAGACCCTGCACAAAGGCCATGGGGACGAAAGGCTCAAAAATGATTGGCTGGTCAATATAATGCTATTGGTATTAAGCATAATATTAGTATTAACCTAAGCAATCTTATTGTACAGGCGTGAAATACATTTTATGTTATTCGATGGAATTGGGAAAAATCACATTTATTCACAAATTCCACAATTATTTCTAAAACAAAATTATTGTCCCCACCCTTCTCGCCAGAATGATAACAGGGAACACAGAGCCTGTAAAATTCTCTGATTATGCACATACCACCCCCCCCCCCCCCCACAGAAACCTTCCTAATATCACCCCCCTTCCTTGATATCCTATGCTCTGTGTTCATAGCCCTGACTACAGGTTACCTTAAAGAAAAGGAATGTGAGATGACTATTGGCATATTTATACCTGCTTGGTACGTTCTCTGAAGGTCTTAACTCACTCTGCTCCTTAAACCTCAGCATTGATGAGACAAGACCTTAATGTCTTATTTTCATGTTATGTGAAATGTGAAAAGGTACCCCATTTTTAAATGAGATCATTTGTACCGTATTCCTTTAGTCAAATTTCTGCAGAGTACTTAAGTAGATAGTTATTCTATAAGTACACGCTGTAGGAGAGCAGATCTACACCAGAAGCATACAGACAGACAACTGGATGGGACATCATTCAGGTTCCACACATCGCTACATGAAAACGCCCTGGATATATTTCCTGTGCTTCATGTGTACCCAGAGTACACACCATCTCTTTATGCAAAACAAGTTAAATACTATCAATGTGGCCAAAATATTATTTACTATTTATTATTACTTTTCTTACAATACATACAGGCTTCCTGTCATTTTGTGCCCCTACTAAAAACAGCAAAAGTGAACACGAGCAGAGGGAGTTTTTCATTTAAAAATAAAATCACAGTGGGAGAGGGTTGGTTTCAGGCAGGTCATTTCCATGTGATGCAGATTCTTTAATTACCGAGACTCAGAAAGGGTGGATGATGCATCTACAAAGGGGGGGGGGAAAGTGTGCCATAGCAAGATTAGAAGGTCTCTTCTTCCACTTCCTGTTTGGGCCTCCCAGGACCCAGGAAGCAGTTCAGAGCTTTCCACAAGAGGGTAGGGTCACTGCAATGGTGCCAGCTCTCCCAGTGGTTCAGCAATTCCTCCTTCGTACTGAGGAGGGCGCTGCAGAGCACACAGTTAAAGGCAGAACCTGCCCTCAGTGACACGTCCTTGGCAACCTCAGTGTGCCCCGAGGCAGGGTCCTGGCTGCCATCAGTGAATATGTCAGCCCCGTCTGGCTGCCCTCGGTGGTGGGAGGATATGTCGCACGTGACTTTCGAGAAGGAGAGCAGCTCATCCTCCTCTTCCTCCTCATCCTCCACTTTAAAACTGTTCCCGGTTGCCAGGTTCTTCCTCTCGTTGAGCTCCCTCCAGTAGTGCGCGGCGTGCCTCACCAGCTCGTCCTCGGCCTGTCGGCACCCCCGCCGGGCCCCTTCCAGCGGACGGAGCGGGACATTCTCCTGGTGCACGTGCAGCAGGTGTAGCCGCATGTCGGCGAACGTAGGTGTGGTGGCCTGGCAACGTGCACATTTGATCTGCAGCTCTACAGGGTCCTCTTGCTCATGGCCTTGCTCTTCAGTAGAGTCCGGAGACATCATGCTGGAATGACAGAAGACCATGCCATAATGCACAAATCTGGGGTACAACATCAACAATTCACTAATAAGTAATTGGAATTACCACTTAATGAAATATAAAACTTTTCTACAAGGACTAAAGACCTATGAAATGAAGAATGCAATCAATAAATATTTCCTCAGAGTATGAAGGTTGAAAAAGATAGATTACCCCTCGACTGGGATGTCATCCTCATGCTGGCTAATTGAGGGCTCCACGGTGAGGATGACTTTATGAACCTCCCGCAAATGGCTGAAGTAAACACCCACGTAGCCAAAGGCCTTCTCGCAGAACTGACAGAGCAAGGTATTTCTGGGCCGGCTCTCAGCGTGGTGGTGCAGCTTCGCCTGAGTGTTGAGGCTGCCAGAGTGGCTCTTTCGACAGGCAGGGTTGCCATGTTGCCTGCCGTTGGTGTGAATCCTCATGTGTCCCTGAAGGTGGTTCCTGAAGCGGAAGCAGCGGCCACAAACCGGGCAACGGTGAGGAAACCGGCTCCCCAAGTTGACGTGGGCACTTACCACAGCTCGCTGGGGACCGTGCTTGACAGAGGTGTGACCTGACTGCTGAAAGTCCAACGTCCTGTTTGAGGGCTTCTCGCTGAGGACAAACTCCTGTCCCAGATGCTGGGGTGCAGGAACGGATGAGACAGCCACCAGCTGTGGAGGCACCTCCCACATCAGCAGTGGCTTTGGCATTATGCTGCGGTACTTCTTGGAAATATTAGCAATTTTTTCATTTTGACTTGCTGGTGTTGGTTTCTCTGGAACCCTTCGCCGGGAAAACGACAACGACCTCTTCTTCCTGGCCTCGAAAGTCATGTCCTCAAAGGCCTTTCTCTTTTTTGCCCTCTTCTTCAGCAATGTACAGGGCCCCATACTCTGAAAATCGGTATCCTGCATTCGCATGCTGTTAAGAGTCGATTTTTGACGCGTTTCTTGAGTAGCAGTGGACGCTGTTGTGGCGATTGGCAAAGTATTCACAAGGCACGGCTGAGGCTCTGGACATTTAGGCTGCAGTTTAGCCACAGTTGAGTCCACACCTTTCTTTCTTGGGTAGGGAAGTATCGGCAGCTTCCCCTTGGGAGGTGAAGGGACGAAGCGGACCGCTTTACTGAAGACTGTTGGAGAGAGAATGGTGGTGGTGACCCTAGCAGCTGGGGGTAGAGTCAGCTCAGTCAGACATTGCTTGTTTGGGGACCCATCCTCTGGTTTGATTGAAGAGTTGTTTCCACTCATCGCCGGTACAGGGATAGGTGGACTAGGTGCACCAGATGCCTGGATGTTGGCCTTTGCTGTGTCTACGGCATCTTTGCCAGTCTCAGTTCCTGGCCCAAGATTCTCTGTCAGCAAGGCTGTGGACACGATATCAGGAGATCTCAACGGGACAGGTTCCAGTCGCTCTAAAGTCGAGCAGGCATCTACGTGGTCCTTGGGTCGGACTTGTGCCGGACCTCGCGTCTGCTGAGCCACCTTGCTAGAACTCACTTGGACTTCTTGAAGCTTGGCTTTTTCCGGTGTGCCTTTTATCCTTGTGGGCCGGTACCTGGGAATGGGTAGCTTCATGTTTCTGTCAGCTGAAGTGTCCCTCTGAACGATCTGTGGCTGAGATGGGGACTGAGAGGACACCGATGTAGGCAGGGCCACCAGGGAGTAGGTCCCTTCCTGCCCAGCCACTTGCATCAGAGCATAGTTCTGGGCGGGGACGACAATAGATCTGGGACTGACTGGTGTGGTGGCCTCAGGCAGAGAGGAGGGACCCCGGCAGGGCAGGACAGCGGGGCCAGGACCTGCCATGGGTGCTTTAGGAGCGATATTTCGGAACTGGAGACTCTTCGTTGACCTTGGATCATCTGCCAAAACAACAATGCTCGTTTATGTATAAGAAATGCCCCTAAAGACCCGGCGATTGGGCTGACTTTCATCTGCCACTAGAGCTTAAATTACTTTAAACACGATTGAGGCGAAGCATGTAAAAATGGAGAAAAAAAAAGAATTCGAGATATTGATCAGATTTAAAGCTGATATTAAAAATGTAAAATTTAACTTTAAATACTTCTAACACCATGCAGTGTGCAGCCATCTGTATCCAATTTAGTATCCAACTAGTGACGTTATTTCACCGTTTCACCTTTGAACCCAGTAGACTGGACCGATTGTATCAGAAACAAGTGTGATTAGTTTTTGAGATTTGAATTTTATTACGAGTTTATCTAAGGAATTTTTTGTTTTTCCTCCTTTCGAAGCTGCAAAGTGTGATGCAATCTGCCTAAATGGATGGGACCTCAATGACTGATTGGACAAGAAGATAATGAGGAAAGAAAAACAACTGCACAAGCTGAATAGTACCCATTCAAATCCTAAAGTTCCAAAATGCCCTTGTGCCTGAAGTCTCACGTCACTGATACCTGACAAGATAAATGATGGAATTCCAAATGTTGGTTCCATACTTGGAACATGTGTATCCTAGCATATCCTAGCATATCCTAGCATATCCTATCTGGCCTTTTCCTTGTGCATGCCTGGGCAGAATTAATTTCGCTATCCGTCATCCCTGGGTGATATGGCATTGATGGATGGTGAGACATCCTGAACTGAAATAAGCATCAAGAGATAGCAGTTTCTCTCAACAAGGTCCACTGTCCATATGAGACCCTTGTGTAAGAAGCAAAGTTGTGGTCAGATACAGCTCCCTTTACATGGCTGCCCATCTCCCACGACACATCATATAAGTCCACATTCTTCGCCTCTCTCTGCTCACAACTGTTGCTGATTTTATGCAATTATGATGACCAGGAGTCAAGTCTCTGGATTTTTAAGAAAACACTTCGATGAGGTGTTTACTGACAGTAGGCAGGCTGCCTGGATCACCCCAACAGACCAGCTTAACAGGACGAACCACCCCAGGAGACAGTGGACTATGATACCAATTGCTTATTCTTATCAAGTTATATATAGTACCCAGTAATGGCTTAAAACAGGGGTGGCCAATCTTATCCGCAAAGGGCCGCTGTGTATGCGGATTTTCACTGCAGCTCCCTAATTAGATTACTAATTAGAGGACTGATTGGCTGAAGAGTCCTCACACCTGGGTTTGAACAGCTTACCTAAACGTTATCCCAAAAACCTGCATACACACTGGCTCTTTGAGGATATGACAGGCCACCCCTGACTTAAATGAACAAAAACAAATCTTGGTAGAACAAAGTCTGAAGATGAGCTGTGGGACCTTCTTGCTAGTGAAGGACTGTAGCAGTTTCCATAATATATTGAGGCTGAAGTTCAGAACGCTCTGAGAAGTCATTTTTACAATGAAGGACGAACCTGCCATTTACATAACTACTCAATGACAGCTGCTTTCCCCTTTCCTTGTTCTGCCCTTTCAGCGTGTATTTCGAAATCCTTTTCAGCTGTATCTTTGCAGGCTGATCCTGCTATGCAGCTAAGGTTATGCGAAACGTGCTTAAGTAAACCTTTCAGACAGCCATCTCAACAGGTCAGCCAGGACTTTCCACTGCTCTATTCATAACTACCAGTACCTCCCGCTTGGGTTAGTGGCCCTCTCTGGCCCTTCCCACCCCTGACTTTAAGCCTTCTGGATGGTAGTACATTAAAACATTGAAAATTCCCTATACGAGTCTCTCAAGTCATTGTAAGCATCGGTGCCAGTCAAACCCTGTGCCACCCTACAGAAAATTCACTACTGGCATCACCCCCCCCCATCCCTGGCAAACTTCACTGCCCAATTTCACTTGGCCTTGCTAAGTCAGCGCCCCCTTAGAGAATGGTGCCCTAGGCGGCCCCGCCTATAGGACTGACTGGCCCTGGTGACCATGTAGGTTCCACCTATAACATATGGAACACTGACGCCATGCTGTGTGTATATAAACTTCTGCTAATGCTATGCCCCCATTTCACTCTGGGTCTGTTCACCGGTCTCTCAGTTAGGGACCGTCTCTCAATTCCTGAGGGGAGAAATGCAAACTAAGCTCCCCCCAGTCTCTGGTGATATCTCTTACTTTGCACTTGTGATTTCAAGGTGTTCTGATTCATCTTCTGCTCTTGGCTTTTCATTGCTGGGCCGCGTCCCCCTCCCCCTGTCACAGCAGGTTCCCTGTAAAGAACAAGGAGAACAGGAATGTGAGAACGTTAGTTCCATCTGCTCCATGTTCGAGGCCCAGTTCAGAAACCGCAAGTAAAAAGCACCTGACTGCTACATAAGCAGTGATCCTACGATTTTAATTTAACGGTAAAAGGGCCGTTCTTTACCACTGTAGGCTAGTGGGAAATGTGCGGTATTCTCCACCTTAGAAATATTTCTATTTTGGCGGGGGAAAAAAAAAAAATTAACAACAACAAAATATTAAAAATAATAATCAAAAAGTCCTCAATAAAAAATAATTTAAAAATAAATATTATTCGCTATGGTGATCAGATAATCCAGGGAGAACACTTTGAGCGACTTAAGATGTCACAAACTACTTAAAACCTGAAGGGATCCTGTGCTTGGCTAAATAGTCCAGTTCTTCTTGTGCTTTGACTCACTTACTTCCTTGATTGAGAGACTCATCCAGCTGTTTCACAATAACATTAGTGACACACGCATGATTGTAGGAGACTGACCAATCAGCACACAGCAAGTGCTGAAGTGAAATCTGGGACCTTTTAATTGAAATGGTAGTTTATAAATCCTATCCTAGCTCAAAAAGTGTCCTCCCTGACATGGATGATCTGATCAACCCGAGTTATTACATTTTGACGGTGTTTCAAAGATCTCAGGAAGACAAAGTCACAAAGTGGAAAAAGGCTTATACCTAATTTATTCCAATGAACCAACAGAAACATGACCATAAAGAAAACATGTCATGTTCCCCAGGGTACTTTGGATGTGGAGGCAGTGCTCAGAGAAGCTGCTCTGGGGTCAACACCATCCCCCCCCCCCCCCCTCCCCCCATTGCTACTGTAGATGTACTTTGGTTCCAGTTCCACCTACACCACAAATACCCAATAGGCATCCCATCTGTGTGCACAGCCTGATCAGCAGGACAGATGGCTCTGAGCAAGCACAGTCATCACAGCTCGTCTGGACTCCAAATTCACCCTGAACTTCTAATGAAAACATCAGGGGAGAGATCATTCCCCGTTGGAGCCTCGCACACACATCAGCTTAATTTCAGATAAAAAAAATAAAAAATGCGGTTGTTGTTCATCTTCCCCGTGATTCCGGCAGAGAGGAGAAAAGCAGATAAAGGAAAGCCCACTCCAGCGAAAAGAGGATTCTGTTTCGGATTAATTCCCGAAGCGCAGGACAGGTCTCAGCTGGGAGGAGACTATGCAGAATGAAATTCTGTGTGTACTTGGGTGTGTTCTGGAAGAGGGAGGAATGTATGGTCTGTGAACTGGGAGCTGGTGATGACGTGCTGGGGGCGGTTAATACTTGTGGTCGGCGATGTGTGTCTAAATTATTACTAGTCCTAAGGCCAGCTTGACTGACGCTAAAAGCCGGCAGCGGTTACAGTGCATTAAGCTAAAATGCCAACCTTAGCGAAGCAGCTTAGCCTTCTCGCTAACGGCGATGGCGTCTGACTCACTGCGACCGTCACGAGGCCACGTAAGACCGCGCTAGGTGCCATCAGGATGAGCAGAAGTGGGAAGGGAGGTGGAAAAAGTGATAGTCGCAGCGACTGTGTCACTTAAATGTCCTCATTAAGATGCATTTTAAACATTTAAAACAAGACAGGCACAGGCAGTATGGATTTTTCTGAAATGGGAAAAAGGAATCGCGATTGGGTCCTGAGGTATTCTGTCCTCTATTATGGCCCCTCCCTCAACCTACCTCTTCTAAATATGTGGGGGTGGGGGGGGGGTAGCTTCTTTATAGCTGCCCAGGTTTACCAGTTGAACGGAGCATTGGAGCCTGGAGGATGAAAAGACTCTTTACCCGACCAAATAGACAAACGCTGAAGACCACAACTGCACTCTACAGCAGCAAGTAACCAAAGAGACGGGACCTGCTGCCTGTAAGAGGAGGAGGCTGGCTGAGACACGAGGACCCCACTGGCTGAGACACGAGGACCGCACTGGCTGAGACACGAGGACCGCACTGGCTGGGACACGAGGACCGCACTGGCTGGGACACGAGGACCGCACTGGCTGAGACACGAGGACCGCACTGGCTGGGACACGAGGACCGCACTGGCTGAGACACGAGGACCGCACTGGCTGAGACACGAGGACCGCACTGGCTGAGACACGAGGACCGCACTGGCCTTGTGCTGGAAAATGCGGCTTACATCTTATAAGTGACATTTCTGAAATTCAGAAATCGTGCCAGAGAAAACCCAAAACAGCCCCCGTACTTTTCAGGGGAAATTTCTCTCTACGAGATGAAGCGTTATTAATGTCGGCTTTATTAATTCCTTTTTTTTTTTTTTTAAACTTTGGACAGTCTGCAGAATCCTCACAGCATGGAATCGCCTCAGCCACCGACCACTGAACAGGAAGCATGCCAGAGCCGTTTTCTTCTTTAGTCGCCACCCCCCCCTTTGTGTTTTTTGACTCCACTTGCTGCTCACACACCAGCATCCCATTCTCAGCCAGGGTCCCAAGCAGAGACTCGGGGCTTGAAGTTGGGGCGGCCAGTGCAGCAACTGCGCCGACCGCGACCTGTTGCCCGGAGGGCATCCTGTCAGCCCGGCCTTCACCCGAAACAGACTCACGCAGAAAAACTGCTTCCTAGTGATTCAACAAGGGAAATACTGCACCACCACTATTTATTTATCAACCCAATAACATAGATCCATTTTGAGTAATGAAACATAATGGTCATGGATGGTATTCAGGAAGAAGCTTAAGCAAGAGTCCAACTTTAATATTATTCTCTGACATGCTCTGAGTAGGGAGGCAAGTGAAATGAGAGAATATTGCATCGTATCTCCTAACTACTTATCCAGTTGAGGGTCTTGGAAGGGAGTCTTGGAGCCTTTCCCAGGCAGCACCGGACAGGGGAAACACCATGAATTGGATGCTAGTCCATCACAGGCCACACACACACACAACAGAGCAACAATCACGCACTACGGGCCTATTCTCCTCCCTGTGCACTTGGAGGTAGGGTGTAGCTCAGTTGGTCAGGGTGCTGCGCCAATAACCAGAAGGTTGCCAATTCAAATCCCAGGGTTTGCGGAATAATTTCACCTTCGGGCCCTTGAGTGAGGCCCTTAATCCACTCCCCCCCCCCAATTGCTCCAGGGATTCTGCTTTCTCAAAAATGTCTGTCACTTTGCATAAAGCATCTGCTAGATAAACATAAGTAAACTAAGGTCCCAACCCTAAAAGCACTGAAGCTGCAAAGCATCGACAGAGTCAGAGTATAAAACATTCACAACTTGCCCCTTGGTAGGCTTTAAGCTGCCAGCCCCGTCTCATATGACCAAGGGGTTTTCTGGGAATAACTGACATACTTTTGACATTGTTCCCTGAAGTGAAGGGTTCTTCTGCTAACCACGTGGCATTTATTTTCCTCTGTGGTTTTCCTCCTCGAAAAGGCTTTGAGTGGGGTAGGTATGAACTGGCACAGCTAGTGGGTTTGGGGTTTCATTGCGTTTCATTTTCATTCATGTAGCGGAGACCTCACCCAACACAGCAAACACAGCACAGCAAACACAGCAAACTCCCTCTTCAAGTCCTGCTTTCATTCATCAACAGAACAAAGCATCTGAATAATATTCCTTTCATTGACAGTACGTTTTAAAGTGCTGGTTTTAGCTGCAATAACAAAAACAATAACACTCTTTTTTTCCACATCGTGCCAAGGAACTCCAGCAGAAAGGAGAGCGAAGAGGACATTTTGGAAAAGGAGTGATTTGGCAACTTCTCCTCATTCTCAGCTCGTCACACCTCCCACCTGATGGAGGCGCCGCTGTTCACATGTGCGCAGCACAGTGTTCCTACAGAGCAGACGCTCCAAAGGCATTAATTAGCTGCATGGCCGCCTATCCGTTTATATAACGCGCCTTCATGATACCACGCTGCGATGCAGTGAGAGACTCGCAAACAGGCCGTCGGTGTAAAATGAGCCTGTAATCAGAGTGTCTCCATGCACGGCTGCAGCTGCCCTTTGCAAACTTCAAGAAGTGGCCAGCATTGTTTATATATCACATACAGTTTAAATGGCTTCATTTACCTAGCTGATAAATATCTGATTGTTTTGGGCTATTTACATTTTGCGCTGGCATTTTCATGTTCTCCCTGAATTTGCGGGGACCCTCTCCACGTACTACAGTGTCCTCTGACAGTCCAAAATGTTTTAGGTCAGTGTTTCCCAACCCGGTCCTCCAGGACCCCTGGGCCAGTTCACATTTTCGCTCCCTCCCAGCTCCCGGTGGGAGCAAAAATGTGGATTTTCTGGGGATCCCCGAGGACCGGGTTGGGAAACACTGCTTTAGGAGAACTGGCATTTCGAAATTGTCCATGTGACGGAACAGCATCCCGCCCAGGGTGTTTCCTGCCTTGCTGGGATAGGCTCCAGGTTCACCGTGTCCCTGTACTGGATAAGCAATTATGGAAGATGGATGGATAGACAGATGGATGGGCAGACTTTCCAAAGAGGACAACAGTGATTCCCCCAGAAAGGATTTAAACCTTTAGCCTCGATGTTTTAGCAACCATCAATGACAAGAACTGCAACATTGAATTAACTAATCAACAGTAACAGAGTAGCATACTTAGTCTTTTTGAATTATTTGAGATCACACCACTGGAGAATTCTCAAAGAAACTGCAAAAAAGAAACACAGAAATCTATTGGGCAACCACATTAAATATTCTATTACTGTGTCTGGCAGAGAATGTAATTCAGCAACACGGGGGACGTTTTTCACAGCTTGGTTCAGCTATGTTTTTCTTATTATGAAATATGTCAACTTGGCCTTCCAAACCTTCATATTAATATTCTCTGAAATTTAATACTTCATATGCATTTTTAGTTCCTGCTCCTTCCCAGGCTTTCAGATGCTTGCGTTTAAGACTTTAGTGTCTGGTTATAGTTGCCAGGAGTTGAGTGACATTTCCCTTTCTTTGCTTTAATCATGAGTCAAGTGTATTTGAGGCCCAG